ATGCCCCGTAACAGGCATTCATTACACACAGATGTTGCAACTTTTCACATAGTTTTGCTTTTCTATCTTAACCAATGTCTTGGGCAATTTAATGAATATAGAAACTATAATACGAACCTAAGTATTAATTGTTTGAGACACATTTATCCTCCTCACCACTTTAAATCCTCATTTTTGTTCCGTACTATTTGCTCCCATCACAAGTCTTTTAAGGGGTGCAACCACATCTCACGCGAGACAGCAGAAAAAAATGGGCATGCACTACGACATTTTAGAAAAGGGAATATTTCTTTTAAGGCAACACAAATGCCATGTTCTGAGACTATTCAAGAGCCCTATATGTGCAAGCTGGCTTTTAACAGTCAGAATTCTCATGAAAATGGTGAGAAGCAATTCCAACTGCAGCTTTAAGAAAAGCACTAAATATTATGAGGCCTGCTGGGAAAAGTACAAGGATTTGCAATACTGCCCGATATTAATACGCCTGCCATTTGTCACGTAAATTCCAGCTATTTCCTACAGGAAGGAACAAATAAGGAAACTTGACCAAAACCCAAATGTGCGCCTCCAAGGGTCTGACGATGTTGCAGGCCCAAGTATTGTGGCTGCTGTCTCTCACCCTCTGAGGAGGTTTATCTTTAAAACACATGGTTGAAGCCAATGTTCAGGCTAGCATCAGAGACTCATGGCCACACACTATTTTGAAAAAAGGTTTAAGTTGGGGCTATCGTCATAAACATATTGAGCAGACTGACTGCATTCATGGGATTCCCAAGTTGATTCAGGACAGATTTCCCCCCTCAGTCATTGCTACAACCCTACATGCCTTGGTGCAGGTCATCGGGCTTGATCAATGAGGACAGGAGCAGGATTTAAGTATCACCATTACCTCACAGACACCAGCAAGTCAAAACAACCCCTGCTGGTTAGGGAGAGAGTAGGTATTTGCCACACATCATCTAAATGGCTGTTATGGGATGGTCATCAGACCTTCCTTCTAAAGCGCTGTTCTTCCCTCTTAAGCTGCCGCAGTGCTGTGCATTCATTTAAACACGCAACTAGAACAAATTAAATTCAAAGGAAAAGCATCTCCTCTGAAAAAGCTAAATTTCGGGGTTTATATTTCTTTATCAACAAGGGGCAGTGCTGATGGTGGGACGGGGACATCCACATCACCTACGGCCCGGCAGCACGACGGCAGCGCTCAGGAAGGCAGGCGGAGGTGAAGCCCTGCCAGCAATTCCTCGGGCTGAGGCTCACAAAGCTGCCGCGCCGAGCAGTGCCCAGCAGGTATCCTGGTGAATACATTTCAGGAGCCCTTACATATGGCACGCTGCCATTAAAAGCCAAGAGATGCCTAGACAAATTCCCACAGGGCCCTTTGGGGAGGCCGATGCTGAATTCACTGGCTCAAATTTTAGTCTTCCCCTCAATGGCTACACTCTAGAAGTAGAAGATGAATAGGGAGCTTGGGTGAACTTTGAAGCCTGCAGGTCAAAGTGCTCTCTCATTATCCCCACCGTTTTCTATCAGTGTAGCTCCTAGGCATCCCAAGGGAAGAGAAGGTTTGAGGCCCTTGGAAAAAAAAATGAACATGACCAAGTCAGAAAACAGTAGGGTGCTTATGTACATATTTTTTCTTTCCCCGTTATTCTCTTCCCCCACTTTCTTAAAAAGGAGGAATATCCATTTAGCTATTGTGTAAAACGTCAAGCTGGTGGCATTCACAGTTACTTATTTAGCTGGCACAATGCAGCAAGTCATTTCAACACACTACCCTGCCAAACCACCTTGACCCTTCCAGGGATACCTCGGATGCTAACTTGATTTCCACCCTCATCTCAAAAGCTTTCATTTTGTAGCCTATCCTTTTTGTAGAGGGGGACAACAGTCTGATTTGTGTGATACAGAGACATTCACTGCAATAAAAAAGCGCTTTCGTATCCGAGCAGCTGACACATTTGATGGTAGAGACAACCAATCCATTTTGGGCCATATGTCAAGCAGTACTTAATACAGTGCTCACTTCCAGCCACTAAATATTTTAATAGGTTCTTCTGATGCAAATTTTCAACCAAGTCCTGCAATCTGGCCCAAACCACATTCTGGGAAAACGAAGCTAGCTTCTAACCTCCTTTATCCCTGCCACCACTAGAGGCCAGCCCGCTGTACGCTTCACAAAAACAACTGCCAAATTTTGTACAACTAAAATGACTCGCATGTTTGCAATAACTGAAGTTAACTAAGTCGTTGGATTAAAGCTGAGCCTTCTCAGGAGTTTAAACTAGCTTTAAGTGATTGGCAGAAGTGCTTTTCTTTCATTCTCTTTAATGGGAAGAGATTAGAGGTAAGAAAAATACTGTTCATTTTCAAAAAAACAAACAAAAACAAAAAACAAAAAAAACCCTACAAAGCAGCAGAAAGCACAATTTAGTCACAATATTAAAACAAAACAAAACACACCCCCCAAGAGCAAATTTCACCTCTGCTACCTGTAAAGTTTTGCACAAATTATAGAAGTGTAACTGGCTTCACATATCTGCTCCTGCCTCTCCTTCCCACAGTGGCCTGCATTGGGTAGAGGAGATGTTTCTTACATTTCCAACCCTAGCACAGAACAGAAGAACACTGCGATAAAATTTCAAGTCCATCATCTTGCATTGCTTTTCCGGTTCAGGTGGAGGTTTCTGACTCAGGAGCATGCCAAAAGAAGCAACACCTTCCCGAGCTGGAGGTACAAAAAGGAATTACGTTTCCAGCCACCCCCTGACGTAACAATTGACTGAGAGATTAAGAGCGCTCTACAGGGCTTCCTCACAACAGATAATTGACAAGAAACAGGCTAGTGACAGCACCAATGCACTGTCCAAGTAGCACGGGGACTCTTTGAAGGCTTGACTCACTAAGTCATTCAAACTGCATTGTTTATAAAATAAATCTGATAGAAGATTTTAAGGTGCATGAGCAGAACCCCAGGAATTCCTAGGAAGCAGATTTGGTGAGGGGATCATGAGAAGCCCCTGTCCAGGTTCTACTTTATCCCCAGGAGCTTCTTGTCAAGTAGGAGATGAGCATGCTCCCTTATCCACTACCTGCTGAAACACAGCCAAGGCCAGAGGAGCTAGTTACAAACCTGGCAGAGCTAGGAAAGGCAGACAGAGCAAGGGGCAACATGGAGATGGGTACCTTTTTCTTAGGGAGGGTGGGGGCACGGTGTGGGAGAGAGGGACACAATTACAGGCAAGTAATTACTTCTTCTTTAAATGGAGTCTTTGTAATCTCCAATGGATTTATCTCTAATCTCAAAGTAATTACCTCTAATCTCAAAGGATTCTCACTCTGGGGGAGACGAAGCAGCTCCAGGGAAGCCTGGAGAGAAGCGCTCTATTGTCTGCAAGAGGCAATGAAAAACTAACCCATGTGCACAGCCCCGGGCAGGAACAGCACGGCCCTTGGCAGAGGGGACCTGGGAGCGGGCAGGGGTGACCTTCATGATGAGCCGACCATCTCAATTTGGGGGACCAATGTAGGAGGGTGGCCTCAAACATATGAGGCGCTCGTGTGCTCCTCCTGACAATGAGACCAATGCATGATTTGGGTATTTCAAGACTGCTCCATTGTAGATTTTCCTAACTTTGAAGGTGCTAAGGCAGCTTCTTCCAAGGCTGAACTGAACAAGCCAGATGCTTGTCCAGCTCCACAGAAAAGAACAGTGGGGGAAAAAAAAGGACAAATCCTCACTACAGAATACAAGGGTTGAGGGACATGATTTCTGATGGAAAGCAGCAATGCCTTGAAGCTACTTGTCATGTAACTCATTAAATAATCTTTATGAGACATGGAAGTGACATCAGAAGCCATGGCAAGTCATTATTAGGGCAGGAATTGAGACTGCGAAGTCTTGTGCGGAGCCAGATACTGTTAATATTTAGCAGACAGGAAACGCTAAGTTTGTGCAACTATAACAGCACTGTGAGTTTGCATGTCAAGCACGAGCCATTTTCCAGGTCCACATTGTAGGTCTACAAAAGTCCCAGTGTACACATAAAGAAATGCATCTGGTTGGAACCTTTATTTTCGCTTCCGAATGTGAAAATTGCCTGTGACAACATCAATGGCTTTAGAAACAACTGGCCCCAAAATGATACAACTGGTCACTGTCTGGTTTTCTAATAGGTTTTGTTATTAAATGCAAGACCTGATATGAGGCCAGAGATCTTCATGAAGGTCATGAAGTGTTTTGTGGTTCTGTTGCCTGTACTAGAAAGTGAGCAGAAGAGGCTGGATCGCCCGGGAGTTCCCTGAATTGCAATCTTCATTTTGGCTCTATTTTCTGAATTGATTTGGCATGGACTGATCTCTGTCAAATCTCATCTTTTCTTCCGCTAACAGGCCCAGGAGCTACAAGATGTGCTTATATGGAGTCAGATGACCATGCTCCTTCCACCCATGGACTATGCTACACACACAGAGGCAGATCCAGTGGCAGAAACAACATCAGACACTAACATAAACATGCTTTATAGTAAATATTTTAATAGCTGCCTCATTTTCAAAAAGCTGTTCAAATCACTTTCTTGAATAAATCATAACCGCTGCACATTGATAAATACCAATAAAAACCTTTCTCCCTACTGACTGCACCCAGGACACTTTCCCTCATAAAGAACCTTTGGTGGTTGTGAGGCTTTTTAATCTGGGTGTTGACAGCAAGACTACACAAAGAATTAGTGCAAAACAAACACTTCAACCATGTCATCTCCTCCTGCAATTCAATGCCCAGGAGATTTAAAGGACTCTGACTGTCCACATACACTTCCACTGAGGAGTTTTATTTCAGAGGGCACTTTTCCTGTGAGGAGGTGCTAAGGCAATAAGGGGAGAAAAAGAAATTCCTCCATCAAAAAGGACTTGATAAAAACATGTGTCTGGATGAACTTACTAACATTACTTAATCAAAGCTGGGCATCTGCTGAAAGCAGAGGGCATGGCATACTCACATGTAAACTAGGATGATAGGTCAGGACACCATTGTCGCACAACGTAACATATTTCTTCTTCCATTCTTTATTCAAAGACTTGCCACTTCGTTTTAGCAGCATACCCTGTTAGAAAGAAAAAAAATAAACACTATTTTGTCAATGCATCTCCATTTAAGACAAAGGAAAAAGTAAACATATTTGCTAACACTTTTGCTATGTTTTTTCCTACTTGTTGCTCAGTGTCCCCAGTTTTTCTCTTGACACCTTTACACCACTGGCAGCTCCAGTGCTTACAATCTAGAAGCAAAAGCTCCAGGTACAGCTTTATAAAGTCAGTCAAGCAAACAGAAAACAGTGCATCAATACTGGCTTTGTCCAAGAGGCAGACAAAGCCACCTTGCACTGAGTTTCACTCCTCAGAAAAAAGTATTATTTTACCATGACATGGGGTAAGGTTACCCCCCATACACTCCATGTTGATAAAGACAGCAGTAAACTTCTTAGAACTCTAAAATAAATGTTGTATCTCAGGACGATTCCATGCAATCGTGGCTTCAGCTCACTTGAGCACACACTTGTCTGATTTCTCCTTTTTCCTATATTTTCCTATTTCCTACATTTTCCTATTGTTCAATGTAGCCTTTACATGCAGGGAGCTGTATGCATACGTGTTTCTGGACAAATACTTGGAATAAAGCTCTTGAGAACCACCCTTGGCAATTCAAAGCAATCTGTGGATGAGATTGCAAATAAAGCTTGACTCTAGTGACCAAATTAGACCCTAGGACAGATTCCAACTTTCTGACCAGGGTTCGAGTCTTTTTTCTGTGCTGTTCATCGCTATGCTTAGGTGCCTTAACCTCAAACTGTCAGCAAGCCCAACAGGCCCCTGCAATGGCTGCTCATTACGGCCTGCTGGCAGGTAGAGACGTTCTCGTCCATTAAGAAAAATGAAAGCTTATGGCTGCCTTTGACTCGTCTATTTGTCTGCAGTCGGTGATCTGCTGCTTCACCTTTCCGATCTTTTACATTTCGCCCACCATCCACGTGCTTGAATTTAGGTGGATCCAATTCTAGTTATCGCTGCACTATCTGGATCAAAAATGGTCTCCTAAAGTTGTTTCCCTCTGTTGGTTCTGCTGTGTTTGTCCCATAGATCTTTTAATGGGGAAAAAAAAAGGCCATAAGGATCACACCAAGGATACATATGCATACACACGCACACACACATATATATAAGTTTGGAAAAAAGTAGAAATAGATTTCACACGTTTTCATCTGTCCCTTCGCTACATGTAGAACACGTCACTTCTTATGTGATCTCCAATCCATGACAATTATAGGGTCAACAAATTGTGACAATGGTTTAAAAGCTTTCCACCTTAATGATTTTTTTTTTTAATCAGATATAATTTTGTTACTGCCCAGGTGTAAATTAAGAAATTTTATTTTGGGGTCTAAATGACAAAATTATTTATTCAGATATGGAGGTAGAACTTTGCTTTTAAAATGAAATTCCAGTTTCCGGAATCCAATTCAATATGAAACATCTAACAAAACCCGGTTTATGTCTTACCAGCAAACAAATCAGATTTCCCAGACCATTTTCTTTAGGAACCATCTGATGTAAGAGAATAGATTTTTTTTTTATTAGGTGAACATTAAAAATATTTTGCAGTACCAGAGGAGAAAACTGCTCTGAACACAAAGACCTAATGGAAAGAGTTATGCAGCCTAGAAGCACATCCTAACCACACCTTTCTTCCAAGGCCAGAAACTGCCACTTTGTCTGCAATAATTATATAGAACCACCTTGAGAAATGCTTTTAGTATTGGAGTATAGAGTTTTAGTATTGGAGTTATGAATGCACTTGAACAATACCTAAATTTAAAGAGAAAAAAAAAAAACCTAGATAGGATGATACTTCAACAGTAACAACACCTCATCCACAAAACCTTCACTTGGGTTGCATTATGTCTACATTTAAGGTACTCTGTCTAGGAAACCAGATACTTGGTTCCCATTGACCTCCAGTACCTCCAAGGTGACCTAGAGGCAGCTTGGTAATCCACGGGGCTCCAAACAGGCCACACATCTTCCTGGTACATTGTAAAAACCATATTTACTCTCCCAGCTACTCAGGGACTTGCTTGAACTAAGTAAATCAGCTCAAATTGTCATTCATCAGATAACATTACTTATCCTGACTAATTTGTGTCAAGTCTTTCATTTGCTACAGTTCTTCCCTGTGCAATTTTAACACTGCAGTTCAGCATTGCTGACCCAAGCCTCGAGATTCAAGACTTTCAGAATTTAGCACCTCCAATTTGCTCAAACTGAGAAGAATTTAACACTTCAAATTAAAATTTACCACCTTCCCTCAATAACTGAAATTCTGAACCTAATGGCAGAACACTTCTCCTACCAGATAGCACTGCCTGTACTTTTAATGAGCAATAGGAAAAAATACTCCAGCAAGAGTGCACGATCTTCGCTTCTTGGGTTTCGCTCAAGGAACTTCATCACTGTGCAAAGAGAACTGAGGAGCTGTCTGTATGCATTGCAATCTCTTTATTAGTAATGTGCATGCTACGTCTAGTCCCAGGAGGTCATTGCAAGCCAAAAGCAATGTTAAGTGTACAAGCTTTAAATAACTTACAAAGTTAATGTAATGAATGTAAGTGTTATCTGAAATCCATCACTCAGTGGCTTGCTGTAGCCTCAAGCTGTGATAAAACACCACTCATAAATTTATATTAAAACTCTGTTCAATAGCAATTATTTACCAACAAAGATTTATTGATTGCATTTGCTGTTAGAGAATGGGGCCCTAACTGAGTCAATCAGCTTATGTTGTTGAGCTTGAGGGCACCAGGAGAAGTTGCAGGCTGCTATCAAGCTCTGCATCCTGATCGGTATTGGGAGAGTAAGAGCAGCTAATGAAAGGCCTCCAGTATAGAACTGATTGGGTGGAAGGTAAGAGACCCCTGGTCAAGGGACCACTATGTATAACGTACACTGCTCATCTCAAAATGCAATGATCAGCTAGATTTAGACACTTGATACCTTCCTGTAAGCTAGCAGCCTCGCCCGCTTAAACAACAAATGAAGTGGTGAGATAATTACAAATTTGTAATTTGTATAAAGGAAGTATTTCAGGTTTTGGGCAGCAATGTATCTGCATTTAAAAGGGCACCCCTCAAAGCTGCTCACCACTGCATCAGAGATGTTGGGAAGTGAGCATTCTTCTGCATGAACAACAGAAAAGATTTCCATATCTCTTGTCAATACCGGTAGCAAAATGCACACCTTGACTCTTACAGAGATGGCTACAGCCCTGGCTTGGCCCCCAGAATTACAGCGTGGAGAACAAGATACTTGGTGCTCTGCAGCGGATTTTGGATTTTACAGGGGCCACAAGAAACAGAGGCCATTGCCAGCAGCATAATACCAGTGATTGCAGGTTTTCTTCAATTGCTCCAGATGAAACCCTTTACTTCATTTTTTATTTTATTTATTTTTTATTTATCTTCATATACTAAGATAAAATGGCAAAGGCCTAGAGTCAGCAAAGCTGAGGCTGCACCTCCAGTGACCATCTTCAGGAAAGGAAATGCGATATTTCTGTTCCTTTTTTGCTGTTGGACACTTGGAACACTGCCATGATTGAGGTACCAGCATCCTGCAAGATTTTTTTTTTTCCTTTTTTCCTCTCCTTAATTTTTAGGCAACCCCATACTGTTACCCTGATGCTGTTTTGACAGAATCAAATATGCAATCTTGTACTTAATCATTAACAGCATAAATTCCTAATTTTCCACTCAGTTTTTCAGTTATCATAACTATGATTAGCAGTCAGCAGTTCTATGAATTTTATAGAGCTCCAACATTTGCATCTTGTTCATAAAAAAACAACCCCCTCAAAAAAACACACCACACAGACCAAAAAAAAGAACATTCACAAAGAACCTGACTCAAACCAACTGCAACGTCAACCTTACAGTCCAGAACACGAACAAATCTTGCATTTGAATTCTGGTCAATAATCCATCCAACTTCTCTAAATCCATTAATGTTCTAAACAAATCTTGATCAATCCTTCAGGTTTGCAGGACTCTTCCATTTGTCTTCCTTGAAAACCTGCACTACAGAGCAGTCTTCAAAGCTTTTGAACAGCTTCTAAAAATGCTTCCCCAGTTAAGAAACATACCCCAAGATAAAAGTTGTCCTCATACTATGGATGTTGTTCATCAACTTCTTCATCCTGGGGATAAGTTCTAAGTCCAAAAGATTGGATTCAATTATTTCCAATATGTTCAAAAAACAAGGAACACGCAGCTACTGGTAATTGCACCACAAGTGGTTACCTACTGCCAAGACTGGCTATCCCATGCTCCATCCAGAGACAAAAGAAAGCAATATCTGAGACCTAATGAACACTAACAGTTTTGCTAGAATTTGTCAGATCATCTATATAAAGAAGGTTGCTTTCACAGCTCTTTGCACACAGGCTACTAAAAACAATCAAACAAAAACACCCTAAACTGAAAATAAGCCTTATTAAAATCACCTAAATGCTGATTAAGCCAGTTTTACACTCCACTGTAGTACCTGTGATCAAGACTGTCACCCTCAAAGAAAAAACAAAGGTTTGTCCAAGAAACCTCACCATCGGAGACACACTAAATGGGAAGGGTGAACTTCAAAAACCTGTGTTCACTCTTAGCGCATGTTTGTTCACCCCAGGCTCTAGATTTGGACCTTACATGCCAACCGCACGTAACGCACAAGTTCTGCTCATAAGCAACAAGGCATTTTAAGTGAAGCTTTAACAGCTCACCAGCTCGCAGCTGTTACAGAAGGTAGGTCTTTAATTTCTATGTGCCACAGACAAGGACTCTTCATGATCTTGCTGGGCAGGAGAACCTAGTTTAATTTAGAAGTACTAATTGCTTGAGAAGACAGCATAAGACAGGAGGACACTGCAATCTGTGGGCCATTGTTTGGGACTTCATGTTTGCCCACCTGATGAGGAACCTCCTTACTCCAAGGGAAAAAAGATAGTTGTGCAAGAGCAATCACTGCAGGGTCAAAAGAAGAATCTGAGGGGAAAGCCAAGAGA